CTTAACTGCTCTAACTGAACTACATTTTTCCACCGTGCTTAAAGTGCACATCGTTCGTTTGATTATTACTCGGAATACAACTTGACATCTCATAACGAGTCACTTCAACTTCTTATCAATATCCTCTTCAGATTACAAATCAGAAAGAGTATTCTACACTATATTCCGGATTTATTTCCAATAGTATATAACGATTTCTGATCAATATAGTCTACATAAATGTGTGTTCACAGACAACGGTTTTCAATTAATGAATTTAATAAGATACTGATAACTTGAAGGCGAAAACAGCAATGAGAGGGTTCTAACAAACAGTACATAAGTGACAATTGTCTTCACTGTTTAAAGACACGGTTTCGCGCTTCAGCCGATCAGCAACTACCAACTGGCCAAACCCTTTGTGCATTTTCTCAAATTCAATCATGAAACACTGTATTCTCCCTGATCACACGCACTTAGTTCACTTCTTAAAACATATCTTCATCTTTCAAAAACACACGAATATTTCAGTGGAGCATGACGATTGAGCATCTTCTCAAGGAAATATCAGTTTCCAGCACCACTTCTTTATTTTTCGGTTTTTCTCTAAAAGATACATTTCCTTTTGCATTAAGTGATGATACGACTTAGGACTGCAGCTTTGACTGTCGTACAGTGTGTAAATGATTGAGTGAATAAGTGAGTATCAATATCGTTTACCTGATAACGTCTTTCATATGTCACTAATTTATTGATTCCTCTTGAGTCTCATTGTCATTGGTACCATATTAAATTGTAATGTTAGTATTATTATTGATATGGTGGATAATATTAAAGCCACTAACTAAATCTGATTCTTCTAACATGCATTTCATGCGCAACATTCCTTTGATTCATACATTTATCAAAACGAGACACCTCACACCGACTGACTTCAACTTAACATCAATATCATTCTCATTTGTGGCTAGTATAAATATAGAAAGTTCACAGAAAACGGTTTGAAATCGATTAATTGAATAACAGATCGATTATATGCAATTCAAAATACCAATATGAGGTTTCATGGATACATTACGATGTGACAATTACTTTCACTGCTTAAAGAGACAGCATTGCACTCCAACAAATCAATATATACCATCTGATCAAAATTTTAGTGCATTTTCTCGCAAGCGATCATATAACGCTTTATCTCACCTTATCACCAACACTCAATGCTCCTCTTGAAACTCGGGTTCGTACTTAAACAACGCATGATCATTTCAGTAAAACATGAAGATTAAGCACTGTGTAATGGAAATATCAGTTTCAAATGCAAGAAGCATATTTCTCTTCCATACAAAACATACTTCCTTTTATTCACTGAGAGGTGATATGACTGAGGACTGAAAGTGAGACTGTCATACTGTGAGTGAGTGAACAAATGTGTGGATATAGTGTCTGCTTAGTAACGTCATTCATACATCCCTGTTTAGTTCACTCAATTGGTAACCATAAGAGTGAGACGTCTCCAAATAATCACCCACACACCTTGGTTACTTTACTTTATATACCTGGTTAAGCGAGTGCCACCAAATATGGATCTTGAAGTACATACTAATTTGTGAAAAAATAGAGTAGTTTTCTGCCCTCAAAAGCCAGACGGATATGAAGTGCAGACACAATTGTTCATGAGCTGAATATAATCCGGCGGAAACTTAACGAGAATGCCTTTCAACCCATATTCACTGACAGTAATTGGAAATTTTAAATAGATTGAAATACCACCATTCCATCAACAGCTTATTACTTGACATACGCAAAGATTATTGATTATTTCGACTTCGTTTATTTATATATGCAACACCACCTCATTTTCACCGACCTCCAAGTGAATGCGTTTGATTATCATTGATAATTTTGTAAAACTCTTCTTTATTTTACCACATCATCTGTTGTATCTTCAGTGCAGATGGTTTTGCTGTTAACAGTAGACAGTCGAATAAATTCCTCTTTCCACTCAAATTACTCATTCAAGCTACTTTCCATTTAGACCGTTCCAATTCATATGAACTGAGATCCGATTCAATAAGTTTGATTATATTTGATAATTTTGTAAAACTTCTCTATTTCTCTATAGACTAAAACATTGTCTAGCAAATCGCGTTTCAATACGGTTGTACAGCTTCTCGAATTGATGTCGTCAAGAAAAAAATGTTTTTTCACTAAAACGGAGAGACAGTGATGCATGGTTTCAGTTCCACAATTGTAATTGTTGATTGTTTGTTTTGTTGCTTGTTTGTATTTTGTCTTCTCTTTCTTAGTCAACTGGACATTCATTATTTACATCGCCAGTTATTTCGCCACCATAATCTGTTTAACATCTAGTAAGTATGGTTGAAGTGATTAGAAAGAGAGTATTGTGCAACAGGAATATATTATTCTTGATGAGCGGTATTTGTTTGAATTGAGCACAACAAGTTCTTTTGTCATCTCAAAACTGAGAGTGTGATCTATACCATGACCTCAATTGTTGTCGGTAGAAATATTACTGATTATATTTTCTTCTTGTTTATCACTATATTCTATCTTAATCATCAAATTTCCTAACATTGTCTATCGTATATCGAGCGTGATATCAATCATAAATATGATAAGGAATGTCGCTTTCTAATGATATGTTCATATGACTGACATTCATCCACCGTACACGGAATAAAGGTGAATGAAATTTTCATTTTACAAATGATCAATACTATTCTTAGGTGAATAAGAAGTGAAAACAAACAGCTTATCCGTCAATTCATAAGCGGTCTTCCTTAGAGTGTGAATAATCGCTATAAACATTCGCCGTCAAATTCCAAATCAGTTTAGTAATCGCTTTCATATAGATCTAGTTTTCAGGTTCTCATTTTATTCAACTATGAAGCTAGCAATTATACTTCCGATGCATTAAGACTCGACTAAACAATATTTCACAAGTATATTGACCATGAAGAGTGACTTCAGATAAACAGGCAGCAGAAAATGAACTGAATACCGTTTTGGAGGAAACAGCAGGCCTTACCATGAACACTGCTTTGGATTTGAATGGGGACATTCCGTTAGAAAAGCCGAAAACAAGCACACAGATGTGGGCATTTTTACAAGGGACAAGAAAACCCACTCTGAGAAGAATCAAATTGCGGTTAATACTAAGATAAGTGTCCATTCAGTTTCAGTCTTGCATTCGAATATCAACGCAAAACAGACTTCGGTAGAACAAAGACTGGTCGGTGTAGATGATGTGATCATGAGACATTATAAGCTAAATTATTGGCATACAGTCAAACCCATAAAATGAAGAATAAGGAAACATAGTGAAACCTCTGCGCTTGACGACAAATCGAACTGCAATGAGGAGGAGATTTCTATTGAGTGTTAAGATGGGTCTTGCTGACAGGTCAGTCATTTTTTATAAGTTAAGAAAATCTTTCAAAAAGGAAGCAAAGGTTAGAATTGAGCTCGATCTCGATCACATAACATTTTTAATATGCAAGCTACTCCTGAAAACAGTTTCAGAACTTGGCATATTTAAACTTTATAGGTGAATTATGAGAGTACTCAGAAAGGCCTTTACATAAACGTTATCTTCGCTTTGTTTAGAGAGAAAAACCTAATACTGAGAAGCTCATGCAAACTGGTTGGATCCGGTGTATACGTCCTTGAATACATCCGCCTGGATGACCGTATTAAGAGACGATCGGCAGAAGTAGAAATATATGAGCGCCGCCGAAACGGTGTAATAAACCTCGTACTTATGAGTTTCCAAACTGTAAAAGTTCTGAGCAAAACGATCCCCAAATCATTCTGGGTGGTAAGGGAAAGTTCTCCTTCCAATTGAAGGTGTGCCACGCAAATGCTCAAAGCAGACCAAATTATTGGCGATGCTCCAGACAATGGTGGATATAGAAACACCGCATGTCATTGCTGTCTCCGAGACGTCTTCAACGTCAGAATTATTTGATAGTGAAATTCGGTTGACTGGTTTTCTATTCAATAAGGATGATAAATTAAACCGTAGGGGAGGCAGGATTATCCTGTTCACGAAAGGTATGTAATGATATTGGATCGAAACCGAAATCCTCAAAGCTAAATATGAGATAGCTGGGAAAATAATCATGGTTAATATCGAAATTCATCGTAAGTATTACCTGATTTTATAAAATAATTTATTCATAGATGTGTCCAACTCATTAACATGAAAATATCAATGGTCTTACCATCACTTTTGATTTATAAGTAAACGTAATTTTGTATTTAGTACAGTGAGATTCCTCAATATTAAAGTCAAAATAGTTCTACTGTACGGAGCTGAAACATGATAGACTACTACAACCATCATCGAAAACATAAAGTATTTCAAAACAATTGTCTACTCGTGATACTCAGTATCCGTTGACCGGATACTTTCACTAACAGCCTACTATGGGATCGAACAAATCAATTTCTATTTGAAGAGGAAATTACGAAAAGACTTTGGAAGTGGATTGGATACACTTTGAGGAACTCAACAAACTTCATCATGAGGGAGGCACAAACTTGGAATTCCTGATGCGAAAGGAGAAGAGGAATGCCGAATAGTATACTATGTCCGGGATTCGAAGCAGACATGAAAAGGATGAATAACAACTGGAAATGATTGCTTAGGAAAGAGTTGGACGGAGAATGTTGATGGGCGACTTATGCTTAACCACGAAGTGCAACAGTAAGTAGGTAGTACGGTTTTGCTTACTTCTTCATAAGGCAATAAATAAATGTGGTACCGTTTCTAATTAGTCGCTCAAGTTTAAGAGTTGTTATTTTAAATCCGATTCGTGGTTTAGTCAAGTGAATAATTTTATGAATTGGAATTACTTCTGAGCCTGGTTACATTTGTCAATGGATTTGAAGAAGAAAGAAACAAGAAATACACTCTAATGAATATTTATTTAACCAAACACAATATATTCAACATAATGTGACATGGAATTCCTTTCACAAAACAAATACCATACAAACTACGATTCCTCTAGATCATCGATATCACATTTTAGATTTAAATGAAATTCTGGCATATTTTCTATGGATCTAAATTGATTGAATGCAGAATTCGACGAAACTATGAACATAAACAAAACAGTAAACAATAAATGGGATGTTGTGCTTTTCAGAAATAGACCATGTTTTCACTGTTGAATTCACAAGTCGAACTAAGCTAGACAAACAGTGAAAACCTGGAGTATTGGATGGTCGTTTCGTCCTAGTGAGCGACTCCTCAGAAGTGCGGATCCGCGATCCCGCATGCGAGGACTCGAAACTAGGTCCTTTGGTTTCGCGGGCTAACTCACAAACTCTAGATCACAGGGTCGACATCCAATTGTGTTAACGTCTAACCTAAACCAATACACGGTATTTCACAACCCTGCACCCATTGCTTGAGGTGGACAAATGTCTCACATTCGACACAGATTCGACTTCACTTCGATTGGCTCGTGAATTCAATGTTGAAAATACTATAATTTACACAAATTATTATACTGATAAAAACTAGTTCTGTAAAATTACGAATCAAAGCACAATTCAAGAACTATTTAACAACTAATATGGAGTGAATAATCATTTGTGGTATTTCAGTAGAATACAACAAATGACTGAAGCCAAGTTATTAATTCGCATAATGATTGAAAAGATTAGATTAAATTTTGTAAATAGGTCAACGGACTCTAGTGGTTGTTATTAAATGTTGCCCTAAGACGAAACACTAGGGATCAAGGCATCTTATTAGAACTGTGGTCGCTGTCATGGATCCAATTACTAGTGGATACATGAGATCTAAATATCATGGGTTCAGTCTTACATTTACTGAAGTGTTCAATGATTTTAATAGATGCTAAACTATAATAAAACCCGTATCCACTATATCTTGATTCAAAATGATCAATTTCTGCTACATATACTCTTATGAAATTGGTTATTGCATAAAACCTATACCAACTATGGTGCAAACAGAAAGCGCGTGAAAGATCTTTACAGACAGTCTAAACATTTCAACGAAATACTGTTGACAAACAGTAACTTCTTGAATTCAACCATTTCAGATGATCATAGCACAATATTGCAAATCAATAGAGATAAGATCAACAAAAGTTCACTTCAATGTTGACTAGTATTATACTTATCAAGAACATAAACGGTTGTATATCCAGTTATGCATTAAATTGATAAATGAGCCTACCTAAAGAGAATCGAAAAAAAAACAATATTGCTCTCCTGTGTCTCCATCGATTACAAACAATTCAACTGCTTCTGTCAGCCCATAATAATTAATTTCTGTTCTTATTCTATTCGATCCGATGTTTCCAGTTTTCTTCTGCTATACCTTTCATTAGTGTTTGGCGTTATATACTACTTATATTCGTAGACACAAGTAAGTAAAATCACAATGTGATTTGAAAATATCATTTTATCAAGACTGGAAGCTCCATTACTATTACTCTAACACTGTCAAATATGGCTTATGAAATGCAAGATTTGAGTAGATCTTGAGCAATTCATAATAGGTACGAATTAAGTTATGGGAAGGGTACTAAGTACAAATGGCAAGTCGATAGGTATGGCATCAAATCTTCATTGATTGTGATAGTTCAGGAATGTATTAGTAGTATTAGGAGTAGCCCACAGAAAAATGAAAAACTGGTTACTTCAGGAGAAGGTGAGCTCAACGATAGGGTTGAGAAGACCTTAACGCAATTACTGCATTTTAAATAAGTGAATCGTGATGTTAATCATATTAACGGGTGCAAACCTATTGATTAGAATTCATACAATAGTTGTAATGCAGGTGATATAAATCAGTAATTTATTAAATAAAAGTATGAAAAATGGCTAAGGTTATGAACTGAATTAAGATCTAGGATTAGGAGTTGGAAAGAACAAGAATTGTAACCACCTAAATGAACACTTAACCAGTTAGTTCTTTGATTCTAACTACCATGAACCTTATCATTACAGTAAAGCAATTCGGAAATCGTATTCCCTATTACTTAGTCTTCTTGTTTGCCAGTAATCAGTATTTGAGTCCCCATTTGGCCCTTAATATAACTAGTAGTGGAATCCAGGATGTGTTTGCTTCATTTTCGGCATTTGTCGGCTGGATGCACTTCATTTCCAATGTTGATGTTAATCTTGAAACTCGAATCTAATACATATCACTTCAGAGACCAACAAATTTTATATCAATTTACTGAGTCCGACAGCCTACTGGTATACTCACTGGGTATAAAATTATGTGAACGTAATTCTTTGGTAATTCTATGAACTGAGAATGGTTAGCCTCTGTTGCGGACGTTTTGTTCTCTGAACTGAATGATTCATTTGGGAAGCTTCCATCGTTCTTCTGAACAACTTCATAAGGACAAACTTCAGGTAAAAATTATGTATTCGAATTTCTCCGCGTATGACTGATTGCTTGCTCTGTCCACCTTGATCCTGGTTAGTCAGTACTAATCTTTAACCTATCATGAGATGTTATTTGGCTTTTCTTCATTTGTCAGTTTATCATTTGATTTACATAAGATTGATTCAAGTAATTTTGCTGGTTTATGTGCTACATTTATGCTAAAGGGCCTTAATAATCTTGTTGATGTTGTTGAGATGAAAAATGAAAGCTTGAGGATTAAATCATCCATCACAGAGAAAAAAACAGAATGAAGATCATTCACTTGAGCTAAAACTCTCTACCATCTCTTGATTAGCCTCTATTAGTTAATGTGCATCGTAAGAGGAACACTCAGATATCGCCTTTCAATTACTTTTATAACAGAACGAATATTCGAAAAGTTGAAACTCTCGGAGTTAATATTCGAATCATAATTATTTGTACTTTTGTTGTATAATTAGTAAACAACGTTATCACAGAATTTCTGACCTCCCGTGTTGTAAACCTTCATGGGACCCATTGACCATTGTGATACTTTACACCTTCCCCTCATTATTGCTAACTAGTTATATGCTGTTTGCTCCACACTATTCTACTTATATTATTATTAGATTTAAAGTGAGTTTTCTTATTCGGTGTTTTGGGTGATCAAACACTTCAAATATATTATTGTATGAGTCTTGAGTCATGATCGAGTTAGGTACAACAGAGAGTTAATCTGACTCCTATGGTCATCTTATTATCGACTACTGGGTTGAAAGAGACTGATAATTGTTTAGGTATTGATTACTGTTCTTTGATCAGTGTGTAAATTGTTCAAAGAGCTTACCAATTCAACTGGTGATACAGTGCGTACAATCAGTTAGAATTTCTAGTCATAGCACATCAACCTTTCTCAAAACATAACGCTTACAAGTCTTGATTCATTTAGAAAGTGATTAACAGTGGTATTTGGAAGGTGCTTCCCGACAGACTGGTTGTAGTTCTTAATATAAACAACAGAAAAATACAAATTCTCGAATATATACCCGAAGAAACTAAAAACATGAAAGTTTGGATGATACATAACTCAAGATTTCTCGGACGTTAGTGAATGAATACATTTCAGCTACTCCGAACAGTTTGTGCTACATTACCTAACATTACTAAACATTGATTCGGAATATTCTGCACACTTCAAACAAGTAATCATTGAGTCTTTAACATTATTATACAGTTCAATCTTTACATATAAGATCAAATACTTACTTGAATTAGGTTTCTGCGAACAAACACCTTGCTTCAAAAGAAAACCCTCATCTTTATTCATTTGATTAAAATATTTTGGACGATATGTATTTTCTTCATTGTTTTGCTGTTCCATACCTGTTCGCTTCATTTCTATTATTCTTTTGAAAATTCTATAACCCAATTCACTATTGAATGGATAAAATGATTTTCTATCATGATCTTGAGAAATATTGGATTGGTAACCACTTGGTGGTAATTTGTTTGGATGCCACCACTTTTCTTCTTCAGACATACTACTTTTCAACTGGGGTAAGAAAGAAACAAAAGAGAAATGCGATAATTTGCCATATAGGCCGGTACAGGCTGTCGTATTAATAATTGTTGGCAATATCTTATGCAGTGATACTAGGTTCAAACCACACATGACGCGCCCGTGTTGCCAAGCTCCGTTCGTTCTCAAACTATCTAACTCAGGAAACTCTATCTACACTAACTCATCCAAATGAGCTACATTATACTCTCTACACTGATCAGTTAGTAGTTATTCTAAAGTTATTGTCGATAACATATGTAATTAATTTTTGGTGTTCTGCAGCTGGAGACAGCAAGAATTTCTAGGCTTTGGTTTCAAAAGAGTCAGTACTCACCAGCAAGCAGAATCTGCTGCCTTGATGGAACACTGCCCCAAGTACGATCTTAACCCTCACACCAAAGATTTCAGATTGTGTGCACTATATTTAGAGTTCAGGTGTCAACATCAAGTCACTTGAACTGGCCTTCACACTGGAACTTCGTTGAAAGAACTGGACAACCATTTAGATCCAGGCAAACATGATGTTGATAACTATTTAGTGATCGTAAATTATGCTACTACTACTAATTAGTATATATTTTCAAGTAAAAGAAAAGTGTATCAGTATATTTTTTGTCATAAACGAATGAATAGAAAACCTCCATTTCTGACGTTTCGTAACTTCGTATAAGCCACTTCTTCAGGGCAAATAAAAAACCGAATTGGATACAATCACTCTATTCATCAGGATATAACAAACAATATATTTATTATGAACTCTCTACCCAATACTCAATTTATTTCAAAAGATCAGGTCTAACCTTGGCATTGATACATATAAAAAGTGAATTAGCTTTGAAATCCCTGGTGACGTTGGCTTCCATGAAAAACTATAAATTACAAGACTTATTCGTCGTAACACACTACCGTGTTTACTTCAAGCTATCATTAAACGTCTATGGTTTATCTAGGAATTTACTTTTGTTGCACTAAAAGCCCCATGAATATTGAAGATTCCAATAGATATCTTTGGTTAAGATCAATTAGAAGGAATTAAAAACGTACCAAATAGATAATTCTTAATCGTACACACATGTTGATTGCTGTCATTGGATATGTGTCAGTATCCCTAACCTTCAAAATCCCTATACCTTGACAATATAAATTTTCCATGAGAAACTAATCAATTTTTCATTGCCATTTCAACAGTTATTCAAGTTTATCTTAATCCGTTTGTCTTTATAATGTCAGTTTTAATAGGATACACATCAAAACCCATCATTGCGTGCAAACGTCCGACGGTAGCTCATTTAAACTTGGTTAGTTTAATTCTACCTAAAACCACTAAATTTACAGCTTGTAGAACCTGACATTTTCACCCACATACAACCGAACGTTAGCACTGCATATATTCGAAAACAAAGCAATCGAAGTACGATAAATGTATCGGAAATAACGATACAAATGACAGCGATTTATTCTATTAAATAAGAGGAACAAGTTTTTGAAAATAGTGGTTAATTTATAGTTTCGATTCTGGAACAGTGTACCTTCTTCACCCGGACTTATGGACCTTTCGTCAGCCAGTCAAAAGTAGGAGACAACCCGGCACATGTAAACATCAGTTCAAGTTTTCATATCACATTAGCACCAGGTGAAAAAACCAGTGAAAATGAAATAGTAGCAGAGTTGGTGAGAGGAATTGCGATAATAAAAATTAAAGATCGATAGTGCGATTCGAGTTAGTGGACTGAAATTTCCTTTACGTAATCTAGGAACTTAGGATTTCAGAAAGACAAAGAATGAATGTATTCGAAATTGTCAGAACGAATTACAAGGTAGTGAATAGAGTGACATTATAAAAGATTAAGTATTGAAGATATGACTCAAGAAAGTATAAGTTAGTAAAATAAAAAGATTATGTGGGACCTAAAAACCTAAAATCTGAGAACGTGAATGCATGTGCGCGATTGTAAGGCATTCTGAGACGTGTCACCCAACGTCTTTGATAATTGGTTGTGATAATCACGTGGATCTAACAGAGCTCACCACAGGAGAGTTGTTGTATCTTCCAACCACATCTAAACACATTAGGTAGCCAGAAGTAGTTGGCAGGAAATCCTGTATCTACCTCTCGTGCTAGTTGTCACTTACCAACAATCTAGAGGCAAGTGATATTCTAGCCAGCATGGCTTACTTCCGTAGTCTGAGGCATTGACCGCTTCACTATTCTGTAGGGACTAACCTACGAGGGAACTAGACCGTCTGTTGCAGCTATGCTCAGATAACCGCCTGTTCCTTGCAAATACTAACTTTAAGCATAAGGAAAAACATATTTTAACATGGCGACCCCCTAATTCGTCCCAACGTTGGACCCAAATAGATCACATCACTATCAGCCACCGATGGAGGGGCTCGATAGAAGACTGTCGCTCATTCTGGAGCACATGCCTAGATTCAGATCATGCTCTAGTGCGAGCGCGTATTTGCTTGCGTCTTACTGGACGTAGGAAAGATCCTGCAAGGAAACCTCTTAGGGCTCTACTTAATGATAGTCAAGCTAAGAATATATTTCAGGAACAACTAGGAAAACAGTTAGGCAGCCATGTATGTGATGCCCACCCCGAGGCAGCATGGAACGATATCCGAAAAGCTGTGGAAACAGCAGTGATATCTGCTAGTAAGGTAAACCGTAAAGTTAGGGAGCAACACTGGATCTCAGCAGCATCTATCGCACTGATAGATGCTCGAAAACTCATTCCACCTGGCTCTGAACATAATGAAGAGCGGAGTCAGCTTAAGCGCAAGCTGACAAGAAGTCTACGCAATGATCGCGAACAGTGGTGGGTAGCGAAAGCAAGAGAGATGGAAAAGGCAGCGGCAATAGGTAATAGCAGACAATTGTTTAGACTCGTTAAGGAAACCGGAATTAGGAACCCGACCGTTAGCGAAACAATCTCAGAGAAAGATGGACATATTATTCATTCTCAATCCAGGAGATTGGATCGATGGGCAGAACACTTTAGGGATCAGTTCAACTGGCCTTCAGCCACACTTCGGTTTCCCACGATCTCCAGTCAACCTGAATGGCAAGTTAATGTAAGTCCTCCGTCCCTTTACGAAGTTGAAAAAGCCATAGGAAATCTGAAGCGAGGGAGAGCAGCAGGCCCTGACAGGTTTACTCCTGAGATTTTTAAGGATGGTGGTCCAGTATTAGCAATGAGATTAACTGAGGTCTTAGGTAGAATTTGGGAACTGGACGTAATCCCATCTGACTGGTCTCAATCACTGATTGTGCCAGTTTTTAAGAAAGGACAAAAGTCCTCTTGTGACAATCACAGAGGAATCAGTTTGACTAATATTGTGTCTAAAATATTAGCCTCAATAATACTTCGACGCCTAACTAAGGCTCGTGAAGAGCAGACTAGAGAAAACCAGGCTGGTTTTCGACCTGGACGTGGTTGTGTCGATCAGATATTCACATTACGTCAGGTTCTAGAACAGAGACACACATTCAGACGCCCCACAATGGTAGTATTTCTCGACCTTAAGGCGGCACTCGACTCTATTGATCGTGAGGTTCTATGGCAGTGTTTGTCACTGAAAGGAGTACCAAAGAAGTACATTAACCTTATAAAGGCTCTCTACTCGAACACAACTGGTAGAGTGAGAGCTTATGGCGAAATGTCATCAGAATTGATCACCTCAAGTGGTGTTCGTCAGGGCTGTCCACTCTCCCCATTCTTGTTCAACTTTGTCATTGACGTACTTTTAGAGATAACACTCTCCTCATCTAAATTTACAGGGGTTGAACTCCTACCAGGAGGTTCACTTGTTGACTTAGAATATGCTGATGACATAGTTTCATTTGGTGAAGACGCTGACAAAATGCAGAGTCTTCTGACCACTCTAAGCAACAATGCAAGCATGTTCGGGATGTGATTCTCTCCCTCGAAATGCAAAATGTTGCTTCAGGATTGGGTTACATCGACACCCGAACTAGTGATAGGGAGTGAAGTAGTTGAGTGTGTCGACCACTCCACTTATCTTGGAAGTCTCATCAGCCCTTGTGGTTTGGTGTGTGACGAAATCTCACCACGGATACAGAAGGCTCGACTAGCTTTTGCCAACTTGCGTCATTTATGGCGTAGGCGAGATATCCGTCTATCAACCAAAGGACGTGTTTACTGCACAGCAGTTCGTTCCGTCCTACTTTATGGCAGTGAAACATGGCCGGTAAGAGTAGAGGATATCCGTAGGTTACTAGTATTTGATCATAGGTGTCTTCGAAACATTGCTCGTATATCATGGGACCATCGAGTAAGTAACACAGTTGTTAGGAAACGGGTACTAGGTAAGGATGGCAAATCAATTGATGAAGTAGTGAAACTTCATCAGTTGAGATGGCTGGGACACGTGTTACGTATGCCCTACGACCGACTGCCTCGACGTGCTATGTTCAGTGGTATAGGAGTAGGTTGGAAGAAAGCTAGGGGCGGCCAAACCAAAACATGGCACAAATCCTTGAAGTCACTGACAAGTGGACTGAGTCATGTTGGTAGGTGTAGACTACCTGGTTGGGGACCGCGAGATGACAGCAACCGATGGTTAGAGACCCTGAATGACATGGCTCAAAATCGTTTGCAATGGCGCAGGTGCATCCACTCTCTGTGTTCTCCCAAACTCTAATCTTCTGAATTCTTCATGTCCCTTTTTTCCTCTTTCCAAATTTCTTTCACTGTATTATACTCTTTAAATAACATCTCCAAACCCTAATCTTCCCGATTACTGCTTATACTCTTATTACCTCTATCACTACGGGATTTGAATCGACAAGTCCATCTCTGTGCTAATGTGGTGTGGCAACTCGAACTGATGTACGTACGTACGAAGTTCTACGTTGTTACTGACTGACTGACTGAGAACACTAGCGTTTTTCGATCACTCAGTATTGACCAATGTGTCATAGATTTCCCATCTCTCTAGAGAGTTTCCCATAAGACTACTTCCAACCAACTAACATAATAACAACGTGCATATGATCCTAAATCCCCTAGACGAGTGATTATATTGCCGTACGTTCGATCAAATATGACCACTTAGATTAAATGACTAGATGAACATGACTTTGGTCATTAACCAGTGATTAATCAATTGTAACAAATAAGTTGAAACAACTCTAACTGTAAACAGAACGCGTAAACTCAGAACAAGTACTAAAACAAGCGTAAAACAACCAACATATGTTTTATTTACAAGAAAAAATAATAAAAAAAGAGATAAAAGTAGACATTTTACAAATTATATTTTGTATTTGTCAGAAATGACTATATCATTCGAGCTTCTTCAAGTGCAGAACCATGTGGATCAGATCCAGTTGTTGTTGATGGTGGTGGTGGACCAAGTGGACGTCGCCCAGATGACCAACCACCTAAAGAACCTGGAGTATATTCAACAATTGCACAATCCACATAATCACCAATCTGAAGAAAAATAATAACAACTAGAGTATAATTACGTTAATCAAAATATGAACAATAGTATACTATATCCAATGAATAATTCTGATGAATTGTTAGATTATTGATCACAATCACCAAGTAAATGTTTTTAGATTCAGCATAGAGCGATAAATCAACATGAGTTTAATTACTGGCAACATCGTTCGAGTGGAGCAGGATTCATAAAGATGACATAATTAACTGACAATTCAGCGCTTCCAATTGACCAGGGATTTCCCATGAATTAAAAAAGTGTTCTAATCTGAAGTCATTGATTTTATCCTTTAGAATAAACTGTAAAACATGACGTATTGGCTAAAAATGCCGATTAAATCGAACAATCTTCATATTATCCTAAAATAACAAGTGCCATGGTACATACA